GAAGAGTGAGGTCTTTGGGGAGGTTTTGGAAATGCACCTACACTTATATTAAATTTGTATATGACTTCCACATTTTGAATCTTAACCGGTTAATATTTTTGGAAATTGCCCCATAAAAGGCACTTCCTGTATGACTTGACATCTTTTATTAAAGAAGAACTCCACAAGCTGTAAAGCATTAGCATCTGAGGTGGAAATGTTGCTTTCAAATCTGCCTTTTCCCACAGTTTGCATGCTGTCAAAGGCTCTCAGTTGCAATACAATTGTTTAAACTTAAAAATATTCGCTATAGAAGTTCATGGGGCTAACTACTTCACATCAAAAAATGCAAAGTGTCGGGACCAGAAAGATGAAGTGTGAGAACTGCCAGTGTGGGAAGATATAGCAGCAATGATTGCAGCAAAGGACAGCACAGAAAGAGGATTAACCTACAAATTGCTCTTCCCTCCACTGGTGCTTCTACCTAAAGATGGCCATACACAGTTCAAATTTCTGCCAATTCCTGCTGCATCAGCATAATTAGAGCCATTGGTTCTCCTGTCAGTACCACACAGCTCCACAAAGGTTAATCGAATAATTGTTGGCAGAACAATGACTACATCAAATCAGATGCAATCACTGTCCGGTATTCAGATAGCTGTGGGTTCTGGCTGTCAGAATACAATAGTTGACACAGGAGACTTCTCCACCTATGCTGTTTAGCGTGGATGGGGTAATCGGTTGTTTGGTTGACTCTTGTTTGGTCTGTGGGACTGAACGAGAGAAATCAAAACATGTATTGCTAGCCAAACACTTCAAGGGAGTGCAGATTTAGTGTGTGGGCTGACTTATAGACATGCATTGCAAGAAGCAGCAGTAAAGCACAACTATTTTATAGCGCTGCAAAGCAGGAACCATTGTCTGTAAAAAGAAAACATGGCTGCCCCTATTTACATATATTATTATCATACAGGATTTACATTACAATCATAAATGAAAGACTATACATAGATGCAGCAATTTAAAACTAACATTCTTTTATAACATTAGCTACATCAAGTTAATCATCAAGCACCCTAAGGGCTTGTTCACACCAAATGCATACCAGATCTGCATGAGTTTCTGCACACGCAGTGCAGTGTGTTTTTTGCCATGTTCCATGCCGTTTTTGCAACAAAACAAACACCTTTTTTTTTGTTAGTTTTAAATGGGCTTTCAGTGTGTTTGCATGCGTTATTGATGTGTTTGCATGTGTTCCAGAGCAGGTAAAATAGGGCTTGCTGCAGTTTTTTTACATGCTCTGGAACTGAACGCTGCAGTGTGAACTAGAGCCCAAAATACCATTGGAATACATTGGACGCAGTTTTGATCAGGTCTGTAACTGCTCTGCTCCTGGAACACGCTTGGTGTGAACTAGCCCTGATTGTGAAATCTTCTCAAACACAGATTTACTTGTTAAGCTGATCGTACACCAGTAGAATTTCGGTTAAAAAAAAATAGTTTTTAGAAGGTTCGATTTTGTAATGGTTAGTGGGGGTCTACTTAAAATGTGTTTTTGACTTGTAGTGATGAGGAAAATCAAAGGAACAGGATGGAAATGTTTTTCTCATTGTGTATCTAAGCGAACAATGTGATTTTTGGTCTTGAAAAATCTCACATATTGTAACACAGTTTTCCCAGCAAGTTCAAAGGCACATTGCCAGCAAATAAAAAATTACTAATGGAAAGAAAACCACACAGATAAAATACTTGATTTTTCTGTGCTTTATCCTACAATTTTTTTAATTGGTGAGAAGGTATACAGCTCGCAGTATACTGAGACGCGCCGCTCAAGCGGATCCTGACAATTATGTCTGGATCCGCCCAGCTGCATGAGTGATAGCTGGCTCTGCCTATCTAGAGGCAGAGCCAGTTGTACCCGCCCCCTCCCCCGCCCTTTTTTGGCATAAACTTGAACCTTCAGACTTTGCAAATAAATAGAATGCTCTGCCAACAGTTCGTCTTGAGAGCGGTGCATGCGTGAGTGATGGCCCTTTCAGATCTACAGGCAGTTTAATAAATAACCACTTCTTGCAAGTCAAAATACCACTACAGGGAAATTTATAAATTACAGTCGTAGATCCAGAAATGTAAAAGCAGTTTTAACAGTCCGCTAACACTTTGCAAACAGGACCATGGCAAATTTACCTGCAGTGCTTTGTTTCCTGAGACTAGTTACACCTACTGACCAGAGTGTCTCCGTGGATAACAGCTAAATGTGTCAGTTCTTAATATACACATCTTCTCTGAAGAGTTATGCTTGCTAAGAGTAGTGCGACCTTAGAAAAAACTTGCAGACATTACTCAAACCTAGAAGTCACAAATAGGGCTCTTCTGACTCTGGTTTACTAGTTTTTATTAAATTCCACCATTACCATATTCAGCCATATTGGCTTGTTGCACTTGGTAAAGCTTTTGCATTGTTTTGTGCTGTGGTGCGTTTTAATCAGCATGACCTGCAGCCTTCAGGTTGTCCCATGTGGCACAGGCCCATGACCGTATATTGTTTCCTCTGCTGGGAGAGTGCTGAAGGTGTGGCTAGCACTGGGCCCTAAGTGTCTATTTACACCACATACATTGGGGCTGTGTTGGCCATCGTTTCCAGAGCAGCCCCAATTGCAAGACAAGGCAATTTGCCTTGTCACAGTTGGGCACCAATCACACCACCTTGTTGTGGTAGAAACGCAGTGGTGTACGGCATGAAATAATTTTTATACCGCAGCGGGATACGGTGTAGATCAACCACCTTGTACCCAGCTGTGCCAATAGAACTGAGTAAAATGTAACTTGTGACATTTCAATAAAGTTCTAAAAAAAAATTCACAATGCGATGTCCTGGGATTGGTGTATCAGCACAGTGGGCACCACACACCCAGCGGCTGTGCGTTTGCGCAGCAGCTAGTGTGAATGGATCCTAAAGCTTACCTGTCCCTTGATGCATTCAGGATCATTGTTTACTGATGAATGGCTGATAACGGCCTGATTATGTGTAAGTGAATTGTATTTATTTATCTCTCGTTGTTTACATTACCTGATCAATTGCTCTAGAAATGAAAGTCATTAAAGCTGAACTCCAGACAGCTATAAAAGACACCAATGAATGCAGCTCTCTATTCATTAATGCATCATTAAAATGTTATTTTTTTATGTGTTTGGTTTAAGTACCAGATTTTGACTTGGCATCAGACTTTTGCAGTCCCTGTACAACAGATAAGATTGGGGAAGCAGCAAAGGAGCCAATCTGTTGTGCTGCAGTGCAAGGAGCTTGCTGAGAGGAAAAGAGATGAGTTCATCACTGCTTGTGCTGCTTGTCCTTTTACGATCCAGTCACAGGCTGAGAGAGTCACAGCCACAGAGTTGGGTAAATCTCAGAGCTGGAAGTACAGCTATACAAATCCTTAGGCAGGTAAATCATGCCCCATATATGTATTTCATCTCTGTGTTTAGCAGTTTGCCTGCAGTTCAGCTTTAAACACAGATTTTCTTAGATGCAGAACATGTATCTATCATTCACCTTGCTGCAGTCAGTATTATGCTGAACCTTCTCAATAATAACTTTTCATAGGGTAACGTTCTTGTTTCTTCTCCTCCAGATCCATGAAAAGTTACATTACTATGAGAAGGAGAACCCACAGCCCATCATACACAGTGCCACAGCCTTGGCAGAAGATGTAAGTATGCACTGTGTGTCCCAGGCATTCCTGTACGTTCAAGCCATCCCAACACAAACATGTGTAAGTCATTCCCAGGACAGAAACCGTACACAGCTGAGAATGCTTCACAACATGCTGTCATCACGGGCCGCTCGCTGACATCACTTTAATTTGTGTTCCTTGCACGGCACCTTGGTATGCCAGGACGTGGTAGCTGTATTATTAAAATTACACATTGCAATCCCACAGAGAGAAACCGAGAGCTTCCACTTGCCAGAATGTAGGGAAAGTCACAGACAAGAGGAGTTTCTTAGAATAATAGACAAATGAGACGTCTGTTTTGCTGACAGGAGAAGAAAAATGGTAGTTAATACAACAGAAATGAGTTGTATAAAATTCAGGAGGAGGTTGTCAGAACTAACACTGGACTGGGGGGATCATGATTCATTTGCTCCAGCCTTCCAAATAGCTGTCATAATTGGGAAATAGTGTTCGCTGATCACGTTGATTGAGTAGTCAATTTCCTGTGTCTATAATTCTGTTATAAATCAATAAAATATATAAACCTGTTATTCAAGGTTGCGGCTTTTTATTACACATGAGAAAGAGGACCTGCATACAGAAACAAAGGTGTCTACAGTGGGAAACAGAGTCAGGAAGTGTTATTTAGTTACTGATGTCTATATGGCCAGAAATATCTGGACACCAGACAATCCCACATATGTAAGCTTATTGGACATCCCATTCTAAAACCATGGGCGGTAATATGTGATTGGTCCTGCTTTGTTGTCATAACAGCCTTCTCACTTCCGAAAAGGCTTTCCACAGATTTTAGAGGTCATGTACTAATGTTGGTAAAAAGACCTTACTCACAGTCGATGTTCCTGTTCACCTCAAAGGTGTCCAAAAAAGATGAGGTCAGGGCTCAGTGCAGGCTACTCATGTTCATCACAACACACTCATCAAGCCATGTCTTTATGGAGGTGGCTTCATGCACAAGGGAACAGTAATGCTGGAACAGAAAAGGCCTTGCTCAAACTGTTGCCACAAAGTTGGACGTGCACAATTGTCTATAATGTTTTTGTAAGCTGTAGCATTAACAGCCTTCCCTGGAAACACCAGAACAAAATAATTTTGCTTCGGGCCATAGATTGTTATTGAGTCATTTTATCAGCATGTTTTTTTACAAATGTTAGCAAAAAAAAGTTAATTAAATCTGCAGCTTTCACTAGTCAGTATCCAGACTCCGCTGGAATTAAGAATGTGGGACCACCCTGGAATGTGACCTTCAGACACTGGGTTCTTCATTGTGGTGCAAAACCTGTAATTGTTGCCTAATTGCAGAAGAGTAAAATCAGGTCTCCTGCCCTGCCAGGCAGGCTGTGCTGTGCAGCAGAGCCATGTAATTCTCAGGACTCAATTGACAGAAATAAAAAATGTTGGCAGGTAAAACAAATATGTATTTTGGTATTTAACGGTTTGCCTGGTGTTCAGCTTTAAAGTAGTATTTGTGACCTCCAATTAAAATATATGTGCTACAGCACTGATAACTTTTTTTCCCTCTCCCACATACAGCTGTTGAATCTACAAGCGAAGTCCACCTAATGATGCTTCCCATGATGCGATGGCACTTTTGCTGCACTGCTCTTGAATTCAGAGCAAAATTGCCACTCTAGTGTACTTTTATATTTTTGTAGCTCTTTTTGAGGCTTGTAGTACTTTGAGGCATGTGCATCTATCTGAAGAGGTAGCAGTCTTCTCTGCACTAGTAGTCAAAAACGTACTTCTTTTGCCATATTTGCTTATTTATTGATGTACTACATTGTTAATGGTTATTTAGTAATTGTGGTTACATGCTCTCCCTCTTCTCCGGATCCCAATGATTAATTATGCTTCTTATAGCATGTAACCATATACTTGTATTACACGGCCATGGAGCAGCTGATGGCTATTACTAGTAAGTCCTTCAGATATCTTTTTGGCTTTACCCCCTATCTAATGCACACAGCTTCCAGACCACTTTCATATGCGTTACATTGGTGTCTCTTGATTGGATAGTTGTCTACATTGCTGACTATATTGGAATCCATTTACAATCCCCCAGTCCAGTTTTTTTGGAAAGAATTTGGCAGCGTTTAGAAAAAGCGGTGACGATCCAACAAAAGATTAAGAAACAAAACATTATGTACATTAGTGAACATAAAACATTGCAAAAACAAAACCCCTTCTCCCAGATGACGACTTTGCACATCTTCTGTTACATGTTCTTAAACCAACATTAAAAAGTGCTGAAGACAGAGGATTCCGAGCACAAATTGGCTTGGGTCGGAGCTCCTGGTCACAGGCATGGAAATCAGTGTTCCTATAGCTAAAGCGTAACCGCTGACATTTTTGTTTTATGGGTAGTGTTAACTCCTCACGTCCTAGATGTACAACAAAAAGGTTTCCGGAGCAGTCGGCTGATAGGTGAACAGCAGTGCAAGGGTGCTTGTTTATTGGACATCATGAAAAGAATTAAGTGGAATTTAATTCATTTGGCATGTAGCACCATCCCTGTTCCTAAACTGGAGACCTGAGATACGAGACTTTAGATTTTAGAAATCCCAAGTAATCCACAATCAAGTAAATTTATGGTTCTGTTCCACTTGCGGTTCCGCTTGTGGTTTCATCCCAAGCCTTATGATGTTTTTCTTTTAGGAGGTTTTTCTAGAACACATGTAGAAACATGTAGAATTGGATTGCTAGAAAAACTTTGTTTGAGAGGCAGATGGGTTCCCAGTGATAAAGTGGAACAGGAGAAAATATCCAGGGCATTCATTGCAGCTTTCCTTCAGCTATTAAACCTTTCTCATAGACATGAGAAGACCTGGTCAATAGCCATCCCATCAGCAAATAATGTCCATGGGCGGTCTGTGATCTATGCAGGCATGCTTTATCTGACTGATATTGGAGGACAATTTTCCTTGACAATTGCTGTTGTTCCCCAGAAATGAGACTATTGTCAGGGCATCTACTTGTTGCATAATTAAACATGCTCACAGCAACAGATTGTGCATGTTTATCACAATTTTTCAGTACAGTCATGACATGGTGATCAGTTCCTCAGGCTGCTGTTACATGGCTATGGGTAGTCTAAGCTAGAATCCTATAGGATACACATATAACAAATTAAAGGACAACTCAGCCAAACAGCTGTAGGAAATCCTCTGCTTGCCAAGGAAGTAAGGGCAACTTTATAAAGGAATTTGAGATAAGTTTATACTTTGCTTTATTCCTCCCTCCATTTAGTCAATGTGAATGTTGGCCAAATGTTAAGCACAGCTGCAATGCCTTGTACACTAGCACTAACTGCCATTTCGGATGGAGGTTCTGCAGGCTTGGTGTCACTGCCCTTCCCTCATCTTGCCCTTTGTACTATTAGTAGACATAATCGTGTTAGTGATCCCTACCCCGAATTCTTTTACAAGCTTATGTGAGTACTGTATTTCCCCATTGTATTCATTAGCTTACAGTGCGGGCACTCTCACCACAAGCCATATTTCATCTGAAATGTGACAAGTATTGTTAAGGTAGACATACACGGCTTCAATTTTGGTTGATTCCTGTAAATTGACCGATATTCATGCTCGACAAACTTGGAATGAAAGAGACAAAATGAAACATGTATTTATACAGAGAGACAGAGAGAAGAGTACTGTACTGGTTTAATCGGTGCTTCCCTTGCTACAGCCTTTGTTTATTATATAGGTAGGCATATGCTAGCGGTACACATGAATGTTGTGGCAGTGAAGGTAGACCAATCCGTAGACCTATCTGCTTTGACAGTTATCAGCAACTGCAAGTTGACCGGTGTTACCCCCATGGAATACAAGGTCATTTAGGGAAAGTATAGTCTATTTTTAGTGAGTGAATGTTTTAATGTAATTTTGCTGTGTTAACCTCAAAGTAGTTTTTGATATGATTTTACTACTTTACAAGCTTACTCTTCCATGTGTGTGCCATTGTTATAGTTTAGTGGATTAGCCACTAAGGAAGCTGTCTGTACCGAAGTGCACTCTGTGTCTTTCTCTTAACAACTATTGAGATAAAATATCAGCCACATGGGATGTGCATTGTTTTTATTGGCTTGGCTGACTGGTAGCCTTATATTTTGAGAAGGAGCAGTAACGTGCAGCCATTGTGTAGCACTGCAGAGCAGTCATCAGAGCCTGTGTATGTAATGAATAAATGGCTGTCCTTGTGTACACATATAATTGAAAATATGCCTAGGAACAGGGTTTAAAAACATTCAACTCCTATTATTAACAATACTTTTACCTCAATCTTTTTTACAGGTTTATATAAAAAGAAAACATTGACCAAAGCCTACATTTATTTTAAATATATACAACCTGCACCTCTATGGGTGCAAGCTGACGGCAGTTGCATCCCTATGCCCACATGCATCCAACTATGCGTACACAGCAATCCTCTTCTGCAAAAGAGGTGACCAGAGATACTCCTTCACCACTGACACCAAGTTAGGATTAAAGAAACTCTGTTGCCAGAGAAAGCCTCCCCTGTGTAGACATCCAAAAGCCCTGAAACTGCTGCTGGGTGCCGTCATCTTAGATGTGATGTGAGCAGCCCCAGCAGACTCTGATCTCTCATTCAGTTGACACTCTATCATTCCTCTTCAATCCCCAGCAGATAGGTGGGAGGGGTTGTGCTAATGAATTGACTCTTACTTCCACATTTTAGGTTGATGACAATGTCTCTTTAAGTTCATAAAGGACAGATATTCTAACCTGTTGCCTGTAGCTTCAAAATCATATAAGGAACTAAAATAATACAGTTCTGAGGTGATTTAAAACAAATCTTATTAAAAATCTTCAGTGATGCTTAATGCAGGCTCATGAATCGAGAACTCTATAGCTTGGTCACCGGACCTGTGCAGACCAGGAAAGTTTGATAGAAGTTTCTTCTAGTCACCAGCAAGGACTCTTGCCAAAAAAAACTAACTCTAGTCTTCATATGAGCCACCAATGCTGTGGTGAGATCTGGTGCAGTTCACACTTCCATGCTGCAAACCCCCGGCTTGGCCTCACTGATGCATATGCGATGAACCAAGATCAAGTAGAAAAAGTAACGCTTGTAATTAATTGTAGGATTGTATTCAAGGTCAGGCCAAAGGTTGGTTACCTGGAAGCCAAACAACCATATCAAGGTACCAAGTTTGAGAAAGGGAGGTCAAGGAAAGGCAAATGATGAAGGATGGCGGGTATCAGGTGAGAAACTAGGTAAGGCAGGAAGACTAACAAAGGTCAGGTAGGGACATACGTAAAGTTTAACCAAAGAGCACATATACAAACAGAAGAAAAGCAGGCCACACACCGAATTCCGCTGGAGGAGTTTATTGAAACTTGTACCACATCACTGATGTCCCACCCAAGGTTCGCCCCCACTGACGCATTTCACCTTCTTTACGACTAATCCCGTGATTGGGTAAAATGTGTCAGAGGGTCGGACCATGGGCCGGACACCAGTGATGTGGTACAAGTATCAATAAACCATCCCACCAGAATCTGGTGTGCGAGCAGCTTTTTTTCTGTTTGTATGGGCTCGGTTTGGAGCGAGGACATGCTCCCAGCGACAAGTACCTGGCTCATTCCTTTCCTGAGCGAGCCGCGGAGGAGCTGTGCTTCTTTTGTGTGTTCTCCTTACAAAGAGCAAACATACTCTATGAAAGCCAGCTTCCCACATTGGCATGTGAGTGGACATGCACCACTGTATATTATTAGCGTATTTGCCCAAAGCTCTGCAGGAAGCAGTCATGGTCGTTGTGGGATCGAGAAGCAGTTATTCATATAAATCATGGAATTAGTACTTTCCCATCCTTATAGGAAACAACAATAAAAAGTGCTGATGCAGTATAACTTTCATAGTCACCCGCTTCCTTTACTCTGATCATTGGTATCTCTATCTCCCAGAGTGCTGATGTGCAGAAGATGACAGGAATCTAATACAAAGACAAATTAAAGTATTTATTCCATCCTAGCTGCATTTAAAAACACATGTAATTATTTTTACTGACTGTATAACTGTATTAAAGGGTGCTTATATACAGTAATATGTAGAATTCTACATTAATATTTATCATTAATGAGCATCTTAATTATTCATTGTTATGGCTGTGGATGTGAAGTTTAAATAAAAGAACTCTGTAAAATGATTCTGCCTTATAAATGTGTATCATGGGTCACGTATGCTTACTCTGCGGCAGCACCTATGTGGAAGCAGTACAAGTACTTCCCAGTCATCATTTATCTGCCTCCAAAAGGGTGGACAGCTTCCCCCTTCTAACAAATGATGTCTGAGGGGATGAATGTGCTCTGTGTGCATTGCCAGGACATTATGTTAACAACATGCAGGCTTTGCTTTTTTTTATCTGCAGCCTTCACAGGTATTAGAGAGGTTACAGTAACATGCGGTCTGTAAGCCACACCAGCAATCCATAATAATCCATAATATGGAGACTTTTACATTAATGGGGCTCTGAATCCACATTTTACCTCAATTGCTCCAGTAGGGACACTCCCATATATACTCTACAAATGTTTCTGTATAGATCTCTTTATTATCAGGTAATCATTTTAAAAAAATCACTTTCTTTTTTCAAAGAACTGTAGAACATACAGTACAGTTAATAGTGGAAAAATAATACATTTTCTTTATACTTGTTATTGCAGCAGTCAGACTTTAAAGATCAAAACCAAAAGATGTTCTTTGGTTTCTAGGGGCAGAGGTCTAAAGATTTCTAACCTCCCATGTGCATTTGCTTTGTAATGGTATTCACTCCCCTTCCCCTTCGACATTTGCACATGTTGTGGTGTTACTACTTCATATTTAAATTAAAGATTTTTTGTCATTATTGGTAGTGTAATAAAAAATAATAATAGAAAAAAACGAAAGAGTCTCACTACCATAACTCACACCCCCTCTCTCTCACTACCATAAGACCCTCCTCACACCTGTGTGTTGTTTTGGAGGATGGTACATGCAGTGCGTTATAAGTGATTTTTTGCACCTTTATGTGCGCTTTACACGTCTTACCATTCATCCCTAGGTAACATGCATTTTGCTGGAAAATGCACCAAAGATGCAGCAAACTGAATGTTTTTCGGCACTCCAAAACCTATATTTCACTGGTGTAAACGGCATAAGTATTTAACCCTTTGCCCCTAAAGCCCATCTCCAAGCAAACAAAAAACTTCTTGCAGTGGGGCTATCCCCACACTGCAAGGGTTAAAGGTTTTAATATCTAGGGGACACTATTGCTAAAGCTGTTTTACTTACCTTATTCCTGTTTCCACCGTCCAGGCTGCTAGACTGGTCCCCACAGCTTCTTCTCCCCTTCACTCTAAGTGTTTAAGTACCGTTCACGTCATCATGTCTTATGCAGCATTCCAACATCTGTAGTGAAGGGGGAGAAGACATGAGCGCCACTCTCCATGGAAGCCAAGATCAGGTAAGTAAAACAGCTTAATTTTAGTCCCCTAGAAAAAAAGAGAACTTAACAAGGGTAAGTTTTTTTTTTTCTTTGCCTGGAGATGGACTTTAACTCAGTTGCCTTCAACAGGTATATTATTAGTTGAATGAAGTCCATTTGTGGGCAGTTATATTTTCACGAGACCTCCAAAATATTACATCTGTGTTTTGGAACTCCAGTTTTTTGTAGAGGACATTTTCAAACAAACGGCATCATGAAGACCAAGGTGCTATCAAAACAAGTCCTGGCTAAAGTTCTGGAAACACAATAGTCATGGTTAGATTATAAAAAAGAAAAAAAAACTTGAATCCCTTCCAGAGTTCTGGTAAACCCAATATTAAAAATGCAATGCATATGACACAATTGTGACTCCTACTTTAAGCTGCTAAGAAGGGCTTTAGTCAAACAACCAGCCAAGAGGGAACTGGTAGATCAGATCGGTATGGGACACAAAGGAAAATCGTTCTATAGTCTGATGAGCTCAAAAAGGACCATTTTGGTCTTAGCACAAAACATTATTTGTAGTGTAAACCCAAGCCTTATTAATCTGACAGTGCAGTGTCCCCTGCTGCCCCCAAAGCAGCTATGCTAACAGTGAATTTGTCATGAATGCTATTTGCATTGCTTACACATGTCCTCCCCTCCCTCCCCTTGTTCCTGATGCTTTAAGCCTATCCCACCTCAAACTGACCACTTAACCATCACGTTCTCAAACAATTCATCCCAAACACAGCTACCTCCTCATATATCACTTGCCCCTCCCTTTTAGATTGTAAGCCTTCACGGGCAGGGCCCTCCTTACCATTTTGTCTTGAATTGTGTTGTGATTGTTTTGCCTTATATTGTAAAGCGCTGCGCAAACTATTGCCGCTATATAAATCCTGCATAATAATAATAATATTGTTCAGGCCTGGTGATTGGTTTCTGAGTGACACCAGACATTACTCTATAAAATGTGGTCCTGTTCTCCACATCCAGGATCGTTGAGAAGAAGATAATTTAAGTAAAGTTTTACATTGACTTGTTAGACTCCCAATATAATCATGCATTAACTTTTGTTGCTGTTTGGCTTTTTTTAAAGTAAACATATCATTGGAAAAATAGGGGGTTTGTCATTGCTGACCTGCTTCTGAAATTAGAAATAGCCTTGTTGTTAAGGTGGCTCGCTATATTGAAAACGTTAAGAGTCTCCCATAACCCATAAGGGTTATGCACATTTAGAAAGCCAGAGCTCCTTAAATAAATACTTGATCTATGTCTGCGACTCAAAGTATTGAAGACAGAGGGCCAACAAAGCAACTAGCCAATTATAATTTTTCGAAGAAGAGGTTAAGGATGGCAGCTTCTGAGTTTCTCTCATGACGGGTTTTGGGATCTTACCATTTCTGTACAATCTCATTTGGATTCACCAAAACTAAGTAATAGGAGGACAAACCAAAACAATCAATTCAATCTGTATAAAACTAGGCAGACCCTTGAATTACAGTTTACTATTGGTAGATCTAAGAGCTTTAAGGGGATTTCACAATTAAATTGTATAATGTATCATGTGTTTTAGTGGGCCTTGACTTTATTTTTAAAATGTTCAGTTCTGAGGCAAGTACATCCACTGGCCTTGTCCACATAATTTGCCATTTTCCTCCTTACATTGCTTATATAAGAACCTTAAGAAGATATTTATTGTATCTGGCCTCCATATCTGTCTTAGGCAGCATGTATAGGCTGCTTTGACTGTCCCTGTTTTACATTAAGGAGCTAATTATCATGTGTGTGTAAACATAACCCAAAGCACAGACAGCTCTGACTCTTGGGGGTACTTTTTTTCCCCTCCCTCTCTGTCGTTACCTAAATGCCGAACAGCACATCTTCTGTGGCTTATTGGAAGCAGTGCAAGTTTTACCACCTCGTTCAGAAGCAACTTTTTCAATTGAAACAGACAGTGTCAAAGTTTGATCCATCACTTTTTTACAAGCAGCCCTTTGTCTGCAGGCAAAGAGCCATTCCCCTAAATGAAGTGCACGACTTTGCCCCCAGAGCCATAAATCAGAATGTGATCTGACTACTGCACTGCCAGATACGATTACTTGACTTAAACTCGGCTGAAAGAACTGGCTTGACTCAGGCCCGCTGAGGCCTGAAGCGGAGAGCTAGTGATTAATCGTCTGTTTTTGCTCATGCTGGCTTCTGTTTTGAGCATACTGGAAAGCAATATTCTCAAACAAGATCGATTCTCAGTTGTCACTGCACTGGGTGAGGTTGCTTTTCGGCTAATGTTCACAATGTCAATTCTGTCTCTTTCACAGCTGGCTGAAGAGCTGCAGAGCAAGCCCCTGAACAGCGAGATCAGAGAATTGTTAAAGCTGCTGTCAAAACCAAATTTCAAGGTGAGGACATGTTACACCTGCGGGATAGATTCTAAATGTCCGTTTGCTGCGGATTAAGCAGAAAACAGGGAATGTTTATTCGGAAACAAGAACGAAACTCTTCGAGGTACCGTATGTGCTTTTTAGAGAATATGAAGCGGTTTGTTTTTCTTCATCCCAGAAAATATATGGTTGACTGAGTGTAAAACTTAAATTATGGTGTTGTGACAACTTGCAGTGACTAGGAAAGAACGTAGCTGTTTGCAGTTTGCCTACATGTGTGAGCATGCTGTGTGGGGTCACCTGAGGTAAATGTGAGATGTAACCCTCTTTGGATTGTAAAGATCTCAACTGGAGTACAGCTCGCCTGTTGCCTGTCTGAAAACCTGAATATCTCCATAGGCCTACGACAGGGGTAGCCAGACTTCAGCCCTCCGTCTGTGGTGAAAATACAAATCCCATCAAGCATCTGCCTCTGGAAGTCATGCCTGTGGCTGCCAATGTCTTGCAATGCCTCATGGGTTTTGTAGTTGCACCACAGCTGGAGGGCCACAGTTTGGCTTCCGCTGGACTACAGGTATCGGCAGAGTGACCCATTATCTAGGTGAAAAAAACTGAAAAAGAATAAGAGAAATACTTATCCAGCAGGGTGGTGTGTTACATTTCCTCTCTCCAAAAACTCCAGGCACCGCTGCTATCCCACAATTCCAGGTGTGTTTCATAGCATGTCCCCCACTGTGTGCAGAGGTTTCACCTATTCACCCCTATGTTACTAAAGGGCATCAGGTACAATCATCGCGCCCTGTAGGGGCACCCTATTTTTCATAGATGAGAGTGTCAGATAGCTGTGGTGTCCAGAGTGCTTCAAGAAAGCGAAGATGTAACACGCCACCCAGCAGATAGTTAAGTATCCCTCCCATTTATTTTTATTTTTTTACATTTGATACCTGATTTACCTCTTTTCACATAGCAACAGGCCAACTCTAACCAACAAGTATACAGGTGAAATTTGAATAATTAGAATATCGTGCAAAGTTCATTTATTTCACTAATGCAACTTAAAAGGTGAAACTAATATATGAGATAGACTCATTACTTGCAAAGCAAGATAATTCAAGCCGTGATTTGTCATAATTGTGATGATTATGGCTTACAGCTCATGAAAACCCCAAGAACCCCAAATCCACAACCTCAAAAAATTAGATTATTACATGCAATCAATAAAACAAGGATTGTACATAGAACAATATCGGACCTCTGAAAAGTACAAGCATGCATATGTACTCAGTACTTGGTTTGGGCCCCTTTTGCAGCACTTATTGCAATTACTTTTGCACGATATTCTAATTATTCGAGTTTCACCTGTATTTGTTTGGTAGTAAATCACGTGCTGGTTATTTGCATGTCTATGGGACTGAAGTGATGAACAAGAAGTTCCACTTCTGCCTAACCACCATTACAAAGGCTAAAATTCCCCCACTCGATTTTCTATAATGTAAAATTAAAGTAACATTAATCGCAGGAGTTAAACCTTAAAAATGCATTCAACTACCTTAACTATTAACATATATGCATGTAGCATATTTGTGTATCACTTGGCTGTAGATCCTCAAATCATCTCTGAATTGGTGCTCACACTGTCCTTCCTTCTGGAGGGTGGCTCATTTTGTTCCCCATGGTCCCTGTGTGTGTTGTAAAGTAGCCACCGCACCGAGCTAACTAACATTGTGGTTGCTAACACACAACAAAGGAAGAAAAAACGCATATGACCATTTTTGTGTTGTTCATTTGTGCATGCTAGTTTTTGCCATACTGAAGGGTTCAGGAAAGATCGTTCCTGCCTAACTAACTTGCTAACTTTTTATGAGGGGGTAAGTAGAGATATGGACGGAGGTAAGCCGGTAGATGTGGTATATCTGGATTTCTCAAAGGCTTTTGATACGGTACCACACAAGCTGTTACTTCACAAGCTGAGAGCTATGGGCATAGATGAAATGTCTTTATTCAACCTCAAATACTATGTAACTATGAAGAAGAGCCATATGGTTGTCCATAGCAGGCAATGCCCCATCCTGCTCAGAATAAGACACCCTTATCTCTGAAGTAGCTAGCCAAACACAGCAAAAGCTTGCTGACTTCTCGTGCTGTTTTAACGGCTATGTAATTATTATGTAGACATTTGCGCAAGATCTCTTTACAATGGCCATGGGAGGTAGACTTACCCTACATGGCTAAGAGTTTGTAGACCCATGACCATCACACTTATATGTCCGTGTTAGACATACAATTCCAAAACCCATGGCCATTAATATGGAGTTGCCCCCCATCCACACTTTGCAGACATAACAACCTCCTCTCTTCTAGGAAAACTTTTCACAAGATGTTGGAGCATGTGTGTGTTGAATTTGTGCCCATTCAGCCAAAAGAGTGTGTGTGAGGTCAGGTGCTGATGTTGGACAAGAACAGCTGTCTCATAATCAGTATTCCAATTCAGTTAAAAGGTGTTCAGTAGGGTTGAGGTCAGGACTGTGTAAGCGACTCAAGTTCCTCCACACCAAACTCATTATACCATTTCTTTACAGAGTTGGCTTTGTGCACAGGGGTAAAGTCATACTGGAGCAGAAAATGGCCTTCCCCAAGGTTGCCACAAGGTTATAAGTACAATTGCCTAAAATATATTTGTATTTTATACCGTTAACAGCACCCTTCACTTGAAAAACCTAAACTCAAAAATATGTAAGGGTGTCCAGATACATTTGCCAACCTTTTGCCACATAGTGTAGCTGGAACTCAAGATCTTGCTTATGAGGTCCCTGAATTATATAAAAGCTTTTTCTCCCCCATATGCCCACCTAAGTACTTCTCTGCCCCACCCATCAGCTTACATAGCTGGGTTTTTTCACGAATAGCTTGATCCGAATATATTTGGCTGGTTTATAAGAATAAATGTTTTAAAAGATATTCAGGTGGCCCTCAGTTTACAACGGTTCAATTTGCACTGATTCAAAATATCACCCTTTTCTGGGAGTGTTGTAAATTGAAACCAAATATATAATGTATGTCAGTTGGAAGTGAGGGAGTTGGGTTCCAGGACTTCTCTCAAAATGAGGAATGGTTCTAAATAGAAACAGGTGTAAACTGAAACCCAGTAAATAATGTAAGTCAGCGGAAAGTGGGGAAGTTAGGTTCCAAGCTTCTCTCATTGGCATAAGTAACATCATACAGGTACATTGTATTTAAAGCTCCTTGTGTGAGCTCATGCAGCAGCTTTAAATATAAAGTACCTGTATTTTTATTACTTATGTCAATTTTGAGGAATGTCAGGAATATAACTCCCTTGCTTCCCATTGACTTATATTATATACTGGTTTTCAATTTGCTCCGGTTTCTATTTACAACCATTCCCTCCGGAACCTAACCCCAGTGTAAATTGAGGGCTACCTGTATGTATATGTCTGCCTGGAGCTGTTCTGTAAAACTCAACATCCTAAAATACCATACAGAGATGGACTGGATACTAGACATTAAATATAGAATAAATTATCCCCTTGAAAATGTACCGTGTATACTCGAGTATAAGCCGTCCCGAATATAAGCCGAGGTACCTAATTTCCTTTCTGTGTCTCAGTAGATTATGAGGGATGTTTTGGAGAATTGATCTTTAATTGTGTACCCCATTATTTATAGATGTGTAACCTTAGCTTTTATTGTAGTAATCTCCTTGTCTATGTTTTTCTGATAAATGACATTTTCTGGGCATTTAGACTCTCACTAGTGCGGCAAATGCCGTGCAATCATTGTGTTTCCCTGTAAAATAATAAAAGTTAAGCGTATTTTATAGCTGGTGTTTTTGTAAACGATTAAAATGCCATTTAAAAAAAAATATCCGGTTACAAACAATTTATTGTGATCCTAACGGAGAATAAGCAAAGGAAGCAAACTACGCTGTATGGTAATGTATTTGACTTATCTGGAATAATACTGGGATTAAAACAACCATTTTTATTTGGTGTTTGTGCACGATAAGTAAAATAAAGTATTCGGTTAGAAGTTAATGTGCATTAGGCTGCCCACAGATGTTGGACAGCGGTCTGATGAAACGGGCGATTTCAAGTCAAATGTTTGTTTAGGAAACATTTTGGAAAGATTGTGCAAAAGATCTGTCATAGAGAGACATTGCCTTAGGAAACAGGTAATGTTGAAATTGTTTAGGCAAAGGTAAATTATCTTTTAGCAGCCTTTTTTTTTTTAAGATTGATTAAAGATATGCATTTCCTGTACCTGGGACAGAATTATCTGGCATTGTCACATATGTATTTTTTTTTTTTAAGAAACCATGAAAACAGAAGGATATTTCCTATAAAAAGTCTGGAAAGTACTGTTTCATACACTGGTCGTTGACTTACTAGGTATAAGGAGCCATGATGCACATAACTTTGTGTGTAATGTGACAGATAACTCCCAGAGACTGCAGACAAGTTACAGAAGATAATTAGAGACTGTGAGCATGCTACAAGAGATAATCAGATACCCAGGACATGCCACAGGAGCTTTTCAGAGACTGCTGGCGTGCTATAAGAAGTGGTCATATTCTGCTACAAGCTACTGAAGATAGTCAGAGACTGTAGGCATGCTATAGAAGATGGCCATAAGCTTATAAGCATGCAAGAAGAGATGGTTAGTGTGACGATATGGTGATGAGTTTATGAGTTAAATGTGTATTGGGTGTTGGGATATGTTTAAGTGCGTTATGCTGTGTGACCTGGTTAGACTGTCAGCACCCCCCCTTGTTATCTCCCATTGTACTCTGAAGGAGCTCAGAACAATGACATTCTGGCCAGGCTGCTGCTATGGCTGTCTGGAGCTATTTAGCAGGTGGACCCCTGTGGTGTTGTGAAGACAGAATGTCTGGGGAGGGGAGGGGGGATGTGATGGGATTTTAGTTTTATCTGATCACTTGTGTATAAAAGTTTGTGCAGTTGCTCAATAAATCAGAATTTGTTTCACCCTACACTTGAGTC